GTAGGATATTGCTCTCACTCTCTCTTCAGTTTTTGCTCGAACTCACTCTTTCTAAGTGAACCTCTACCTGTATCAAACAACCCACTACAGGGACCAGCAGGAGGACATTTCTGGAAGAGGTCCAGTATCCATGGAAACATGTTGAGGTGGTAGGCATACGAAAGAGAGAGAAAAAAAACAGGAAATCATCTCACAAACACACTCCCTTCTCTGATTGCTCCCATTTTCCAGTCACAGAGAATGAGTAATGCTTGGACTGACTGCTTTTTTAAGGCAGTTAGACTGCTTCTCTTCTGGATCCGGACTACACAGACTGGGCTCATTAGATTGCAGACGTCTGTTTCAGTGCTCTGCGGTCTCCAAAATGAAAGGACTACTGTAACTGTAGGCCTATATACACTATGTCAGCCTTGAATGCATTTCCTTTGCTGTCTTCTATTGATTTAGTGCATTCATGATCAGGAAATATTGGGAAGTATTTGATTCAACTATTAGTGTAAGTATTTACCAGTTAAAGGTTATTTCTTTATGATGGACAAAATAGTTGTCCTCTTCCCCATGAAAAAACAAGATTCCCAGACACAAAATCCCATGGCTGAGATAACCCACTATGGCACCGACACAACACTTTGATCTCTCCATGTAATTGTAGCTGTTTGCCACCAGTCATAATTACATTTTAGTCAAATGTGGGATTAATGATTGAATGAGCACTCTGAGGCTTCATCAAATAAAGCTTTTGTATGCTGGTGATCAACATAATATAACCAAACCAGCTAGCCAGCGTATTACTCTTGAGGGTGCCCTAAAAATAAAGCCTGGGCCTTCATTTAACACTTGTTTGATATTCTTCATATATAAAGAGTGCACATGCATTAGTCCCAATAATTTATACCCTGAGAGTAGAAATATCCAAGCTATGGATATGAAAGATGAGTAATGTCAGCAAAAATGCCAATAATCTCATAAATTCTCTCTCTTGTCACTGTTCTATCCTTTTAAAGGTTGTTTCAGCCTAATACAGAAGAGGGATATCCATATACATGAATAAATGTTGACCAGGCGGAGTCAAAAGCTTATGTAACAAAAATGCTCTCCATCTAGGACCACCAAGAGGGCTTTGTTATCAAACTTGGCGATCTCTAACATCTCTAGTGTGCACCTGGAGAGAAGCAAATGAAAATAGTCTGCCCAGTGCCCCCTACCGAACTGCGACACAAGCTGTTACAACACAATGTTCAGGTGATCCCCATTTTTGGTGGCCTTTAATCACCTTGAGCTCAGTTAAGCGTGTTCAGTGGGATGGCTCTGGGCACGTGATGCGCCATGTGTACCTCTCCCTGAGGTTTAAACTGTGAGATGAGTGAGAAACGGAACAGAAGGGCTCACCTTAAATTACCCTGGAGAGAGGAATCAGGTGTGCTCTGTGATATGGAGTTACCACTTTCTAATACTCTGTAGCAGGTGCTCACCCCACCCTCTTAGAGGGGGACAAATGACAAAGACTAATTTCATAATAGTAAGAATTATGAAAACGGTTCTTAATACCATGATACTAATGAATAACATGTATCATATCAGAGGCAAAACTGGAGTTATTGTATTTGAGCATTGATTGTATGTCTGGGTCTGGTTAGAGGGGGTTGACGAGATAATATTCCACAGTGAGTGAGTCGGCATTATACTGGAACAGATGCTCAGTGTAGCTCCATTTGCAATACAATAGCCCCCACACAACATGCTAAATGAAACAGTGGCCATAAACAAAAGACTCCAAAGTGGCTTGGCGTGGTGTGTGTGTGGTTTGTGTGGTGCCTGCATGTGTGTGTAACGTGTGTGTGCGTGCATGTGTGCGTTTGAGTGTGCGTGCAGATACACATGCAGACAGCAGATGAACAAAATACAACATGTGATGCTCCTGCCATGACCCTACCCCGACCTTAGACCAAATGATGACTCTGTGAGGGTTCACCAATGCCACACTCAATTATATCTAATTATATTTATAAAAGCATCCAGGTGTTATAAGGAATCAACTTTAGACGTACACTACCAGTCAAAAGTTTGGACACACCTACTCATTCAAGGGTTTTTCTTTATTTTTACTATTTTCAACATTGTAGAATAATAGTGAAGACATCAAAACTATGAAATAACACATATGGAATGATGTAGTAACCAAAAAGGTGTTAAACAAATCAAAATATATTTTATATTTGAGATTCTTCAAATAGCCACCCGTTGCCTTGATGACAGCTTTGCACACTCTTGGCATTCTCTCAACCAGCTTCATGAGGTAGTCACCTGGAATGCATTTCAATTAACAGATGTGCCTTCTTAAAAGTTAATTTGTGGAATTTCTTTCCTTCTTAATGCGTTTGAGCCAATCAGTTGTGTTGTGACAAGGTATACAGAAGATAGCCCTATTTGGTAAAAGACCAAGTCCATATTATAAGCAAAGAGAAACGACAGTGCATCATTACTTTAAGACATGACGGTCAGTCAATACGGAAAATTTCAACTTTGAAAGTGCCGTTGCAAAAACCATCAAGCACTATGATGAAACTGGCTCTGATGAGGACCGCCACAGGAAAGGAAGACCGAGAGTTACCTCTGCTGCAGAGGATAAGTTCATTAGAGTTACAAGCCTCAGAAATTGCAGCCCAAATAAATGCTTCACAGAGTTCAAGTCACAGATACATCTCAACATCAACTGTTCAGAGGGGACTGTGTGAATCAGGCCTTCATGGTCGAATTGCTGCAAAGAAACCACTACTAAAGGACACCAATAAGAAGAAGAGACCTGCTTGGGCCAAGAAACACGAGCAATGGACATTAGACCGGTGAAAAAAGTGGAGATTTTTGGTTCCAACCGCCTTGTCTTTGTGAGAAGCGGTGTGGGTGAACGGATGATCTCCGCATGTGTAGTTCCCACCGTAAAGCATGGAGGAGGAGGTGTTATGGTGTGGGGGCGCTTTGCTGGTGACACTGTCTGTGATTTATTTAGAATTCAAGGCACACTTAACCAGCATGGCTGCCACAGCATTCTGCAGCGATACGCCATCCCATCTGGTTTGGGCTTAGTGGGACTATCATTTGTTTTTCAACAGGACAATGACCCAACACACCTCCAGGCTGTGTAAGGGCTATTTTACCAAGAAGGAGAGTGATGGAGTGCTGCATCAGATGACCTGGCCTCTACAATCCCCCGACCTCAACCCAATTGAGATGGTTTGGGATGAGTCGGATGGCATGGTGAAGGAAATGCAGCCAACAAGTGCTCAGCATATGTGGGAACTCCTTCAAGATTGTTGGAAAAGCATTCCAGGTGAAGCTGGTTGAGAGTGTGCAAAGCTGTCATCAAGGCAAAGGGTGGCTATTTGAAGAATCTCAAATATAAAATATATTTTGATTTGTTTCAACACTTTTTTGGTTACTCCGTGATTCCATGTGTTACTTCATAGTTTTGATGTCTTCACTATTATTCTACAATGTAGAAAATAGTAAAAATAAAGAAAAACCCTTGAATGAGTAGGTGTGTCCAAACTTTTGACTGGTACTGTATGTATGATTCACAAAAGGATGAGAGACATACATTAATGGCCATGGGACACAATCTGATCAATGTCATCAAATCTGTTAAGGAAACATCTTTTTTTAATTACCTCAGAGGCTTTGGTAGTGCTAAGTGAGAGAAGTGGCCAACTGTCCATACAAGTGCAGTAATCCAATGTGCCATACAAAGTTTCTCCAGATTCACAAAAAGAAGGAAACCATGCTACTCTCCTCCCCTCACACCTCATTCTCCTTCTCGCCGTCATTGTCTGTCAGACTCAAATCAGACAGCCACACGTTAATTGCTGACCCTACGACCCAAGCCATTGTTCTGCACATGGACTTTCCTGCCATAGAATATGTGGCCCCAAACAGACCACTGATTTCTGACCAGCCATCAGCATGTAGTCCATGACTAGGCATTATGATGATGCATTGCATTATGTTTCAAGAAGTTACTGAACACTGATAAAGTATCGGTGGGACACAGAATCAGAAGTTTTATGAAATATGTTTCTAAACAACTCAGAAAATAACACATAGGCCTAGTTAATCCCATGATTCCCATCTAATAGAAATGTAGATACCAATCATTACTCTGGCCCAAGAATTGCAATGGTTTACATTGACATGGATCACCATTCGTTCTTTACAGTGCAGATATTTCATATTACACAGACACAGTCACAGTCACAGTGAATAAGTGTAGGTAGCTTACTGGCTGTGTGCTTGTAATAGGCTTATATAGGCTAGCTATTGTATTCAAATAGAAAAGCCTACTTCTCATTTTTTCATAGGATGCACTTTGTTCCTGACCTTCATGTTAAAAATAGAGAAGTCTAACTGAGCCAAGAGGTGTGGTTTAGTTAGTAAATGGTTTCACATCATATCATCTTTGTGCTGTAATTTGATACTTAGGCACTGAAGACAAAGGGATAAGCGGCTCTACCAGGGCTTTACACATGCTTCTAGATGGACTAAATCAGGGACAACTTGCTTTGAATACAAATACGTCAAAATGAAGACAAAAAACAACAACAATTGGCAATAGCATTAATGATAAAAATATATAGTTGTTTTTGAATGTAGGCAATGCTTCCAGTCACACAAAGGGACTGCATTCATCAAAGCGCACTTCAAGCACTTACTTGGAATAGGCTATTGCTTACATTAAACACCATTAAAATGTCAAATGTAATTAATGAGAGAATAACAATGTTTATATCACTAAGATACCTTCAATTTAAATCCTTTAATGTTATCACATAAACACTTTGTTCATGCTTTACATCGGAGAGACGCTTTAAATGTTCAACCAATTAGGATAAAGACAGCTGGGAGGAGCTTGGTAGTCAGGCTCAAATTCGGAAGATTGACAACAATCTGTCCAATAAGAACAGCTTAAACATGTTAGATACTTTAGATTGTCCAATTACGTTTTAGATCGAACATCTCCATTCTAACTAATGGACTGCAGTTGAGCCTCATAGATGTAGCTGGTGGTCATCACTCTCTCCTCAGCGTCTCACTCAAACAGGGTTATATCACTGCCATAAACATCAAACAAAGTATTTATTTCGGAAACATATTATACCCTTAAATTAAACTAACTATGGCTGATACCGCAGTTGAGACGACCACAACCACCGAGATTTCAGCAAAGGTGAGTTTGATTCATTTGACTAGCTAACTAAACTACTCTTCTGCTGAGCCTGCGTGAACACCAGCTAGCTAACTTTAGCTGTAATAGCTAGCTACAGTAGCTAACATTAATGTTAGTCACTGTCAATGGCTGAAAAATGTTATGTATTTCTCAAACATTTAGTTAGCTATTTAACTAGTTCAATAACTTCGCTAGCCCCATTACTAGTGCTACATTGATTACTGCATTGTTGGGTTTTGAGCTTGCAAGAAAGGAATTTCACTGTACTTATGCACGTGACATTAACTTCAACTATTGGCGACTTGGCGTGTGACTAACTTTGCTAGCTAGCTAGTTTGACGTTAAATTTGGTAGCTACATTGCAAATGTAAGTTATTACTAGTTAGTAAACGTTCGCTAAAAAGCCCCTCAAATCGAATGCGCTCTAGCTACACGGTTGCGCGATGGCGGGAAGTGATCAGGCCTTATACAGCGCGAGAGGAGTGTGCGCGCTTATCTGAACGGAGATGCAAGTTCCCGATGCCTTCCATTGTGTGCACTTTAGCAGTGGTCGGGCACGCGCCGCCGGTAAACACGGGGGATATGTAGAAAGGTTACTAGAATTTTAACAATATGAATTAAAGATGGCGACGAATATATGGCCACATCGTGGTGGACATGCTTCAATTGTGTCAGTGAGCTAATCAAGGATAACATATATTTTCAGGAGCTCAAAGAGAAGAAAGAGGTTGTCGAGGAGGTGGTAGAGAAGAAGGAGAACGGCAGTGGGGAAGCACCTGGCAATGAAACAGTGAGTTGAAGCTGAAGCTTACGTCCTCTGGAGCCTCATGGCCTTTTGTCTTGGCGCCATCAACATGCAGGTGTCTTCAGACTCCGCCCCCACTACCCCACCCCCACACACTACTCTTTGTTTAGTTTGTGAAATGGCACAAATCTTCCTTAAGACATCTGTTAGCCCTCATTGCATTCCCTTTCCTAACTCTAAGGGGAATTAAGTATAAACTGCAACATGTGCCCTGTTTTAACTCTGAAGCTTGTTGGCTGTAACTCTTGGGTTAACTTTTTCAGAATACTTTTCTGAAATAAATTCCTTATCACTCATGCTTACCATTTACACATTTATGTGAAATATTAAAGTTCCTCAAATTCTTTGGTTTCTTCCCTCCAGCACACAAATGGTGCAGAGAAGACTAATGGTGCAGATGAGAAGACAAATGGTGCAATTAATTCTGAAGTAACGGCAGAGGTTGAAGAGGATGGTAAATTCATGCCCATCTTTGGACTAACAGCTGGATAAAAAAATTACATGTTTCACGGTTATTTGAAACGTGAGGTGCTTGAAGCCCACGTTTTTGCTTCATGTATGAATTTGATTGCAGGAGAGGGAGAGGATGCAGCTGAGGATGCAGAAGAAGCTGCTGAGGAGGTTGACCACCCTGTGAAGCGCCCAGCTGAGGAGGAGGTACAGTTTTGTCCGATTTTAAAACGGTCTCATAGTAAAAGTTGAGCCATCTTTATTACTGTTTTATATCTGTCCACCAAGTTCTCTCCTCACTTAAAAACTTGTATTTTTGCCCTCAGGAACAAGTGGAAACAAAAAAGCAGAAAACAGAAAACGATGACACAAAGGAAGCTGAAGTGGAGGCCTAGAACGCTCAGTCTGTACTCCTCCGCAGCTCTGTCTACATGCCGTGGTCAACTTCACCTTGTAGAGCTTGTGCTTTATGTATTTTTTACAGATTTTGTTTTCCCCCAAGATATTACATTGCACTGGAGTCCTTAAACATAGTGGCCTCCTCCCTTTTTATAAGATGTTATTTATTGGTTTCTTACAACAACAACAAAAAAGAACTCATGCAAATAGGATCCATGCTGTTTTAACAGTATGTTAGTTTGTATCCTTATGAGTTAAGCACATTCTCTACTTTGTTACTGCTGACCAGTTGATTCAGAGGCAGGCAGCTGCACCCTTCTCCACATTTTCAACGGTGACCTCACTCACTAAAGACCAAAGATAAGTTTTAAGCAGGGGCTAATGGACTATTGTTAGCATTATTAGTTCAGGCTTTTTTAATACCTTTTGTTAAGTGCTGCTGCTAGTAGTTAATCCTTTGCCTGGCTGATCTGTTAACACAACAATGGCACAAATACAAGAACACCTCCATGATCAAAGATAGCTTGATCCTTCCGCAATGTTAATTACCCCCTCTTAAATCTTAAGGCTTTGGTCATATGTTTTGTATGCATTTTACACACGTTTGTACCCAAGATACTGTTTGTTTTTTGTTTCATTTTCAGTTATGTTTTGTCTGGGTGACTCAGAAATTGTCTACAATGGTCTTTATCAGAACAACATTCCCACCCTGGTGTTCTTTCTCTTCTAGTGCAGTTATATTTCATGATTGCTATTTGGTTGCTTCGGCCACTGCTTTGTATATTCTGGTTCTTGATGATTAAATAAATCAGTCTTGTCTTTTTAACCATGGTGTTTTGTGTTTGCATTCACTGTAGTTAAATGTACTGGATATTTCACCTCAGTTCTTCAAAGGGTAATTGACACGTTTTATCCTCTTGTTCATTATCTCCACACCATACCAGTGTCTACATATCTGAAAACGGTACGTTTCTATGATCTGCGGTTAAGAAGAAAGGTCCTAAAAAACACTTCTCTGTGACATCGAAGGGTAGAATTCAAAGTAAAAAATAAACTGTTCAAACCCTGCATCGAGTTTCTATCCATAGGGAGGGTATTTTCTTGCTCCCCACGTCACTGCAAATCTCAGTGTTTTAAAAATCACTGTTTTAACTTGATGTCATCGAGTCAAATTTGGTAACTTTTTTCTACAAAACAGAAATGCGCTGTTTAACACATATGTAGGCACTGGTATTGTGCTGGAGATAATGAAAAGGAGGTTAAAGTGGTGGAATTGCCCTTTAAGATGCTGAACAGTGTTATAACCAAATTACAATTGTGACTAACATTAGTGTTAACTGAAATCATCCCTTATTACATTGTTAAAACAGTCCTAGCCATGTACTTGATGTCAGTTGACATAATTTAACATAAGACTGAATATGAATGATTCTGTTTGAGGAACAGGAGTAATTATTGTAATCTTCGGATTTAGGCTTTTTTTTCTCCATAGAACTAAACTGTCTACACATCAATCCATTGAATCCTGACGTGTTGCAGTTTACAGACCCATCTAGTGGTGTAAACTGGTATTGCGGGTCAACTCAGGGTAGGGTTGATTGTTGAAAATTACTATTCTTTGATAGAACCTTTATGACATGGTTATGTGGATGGAGGTTTTCTGATAAGTGACCAGTTATGAAGAATGATTACATATATTTTAATGTGAAATACATAATAGCTGTAAATCTAATATCAAAAAGAAACATTGATCCTAAAGGACACATTATATGCATAATTATCTGCATATAGAGGAGACCTCCAAGATGTGTGAAGTTCTATGATAGTGAGTTTAATAAAAAAGGACAGTAGCCCAACAAGTAAAAATGATAATTTTAATTGAACTCGACCCTGAAGTAAAGTAGCTGTTACAGTAATACAGTTAATATTGGAATTAAGGATGAAGACCATCAGAAAACACAGTTTATTGTAAAATACTAGAAATGTTATTTTGTTGAATTGAAGCAAGTTGCAACAGCATGATGATCCATAGAGTTCATGGTTCCTCAAAAGAAACCAGTCAGAAACATGACATCATCATGGCACGTGTCCAGTCTGTTATGGAGGCTTTAGTGGGAGACCCTGATCAACATTCCGCTGAGGCATCACCAGCTCTAGATGACTCATGAAAGTGGGGTGTTTAAAGGTGGTGGGCATTTTAGTGAAACTCACAAATGAAGCTGAACGCAGGCATGAGTTATTGTTACAATTCATTCAAAAATGCCTGGAAACAGTCTTGGTGTCAATTAAGTGATGTTATTTTAGCCTGTCATAGATTTTCTCAATTGAAAAGTAATTATGATTTCACCAATGTTTCAATTGGCTGATTGATGAACATGGAAGATGACATGTTATTTCAGCTGTTTAGAATGAAATTAATGAATTGAGTGAATAAATGCAGTGTGTGAGGAACTGGATAACTAACCCAAACGTGAGAGGGTCACGCCAGTGAGCCAGTTTGGGTCGTGTGGTGAAACAAACCTAAACACTAACTAAAGCATGCGCCTTAGCGTGCCAAAAGTCTTCCCTCTCAAAGTGGTCCAGCTCCATCTTTAGCATAGTTCACATGCATCTTCCTGAATTCTTTCTTGCCACCAAAACAACAGATTTGTTGTTCTTCTTTTTTGTTCGGTTTCCGGTGGAATGCCGAATCACACCCCAGTTTCAACTTCTCCTCTTCCTGGTAATGACAAGAATCACTGTCATTACAACAGTCACGCCAGCAGCAAGGTGACAGGTCAGAGTGATGTCCATGGCTTAGTAAAGGGTCCATCTCTGTGTGTATGTTTGTAAACGCATTAGTGATTGTCAAGTCAAAATGGTAATAAATAATGACCATAATAATCTGAGTGCCTTGTGTGAAAGATGTAAAACCTCATCAGAGGCACAGTTTGGCTCTCTATTATTCACATAGTACAAACTGTACATTGAGTGAGGGCGGTACTATGGCTTGCATGTGTGTGTAAATGTATAGTAAATATGCTACTGTGCTTACATGAATTCAGGGCTTCAAGCAAAGGTCATTGGTGACACATTCAGACAGTCCCTAAGCCTGCTTACAGTGGGGTGATAGTGTGCTAACGCAGAGAAACCGGCAGGTAGACATTCCCTCAGACATAAGACCAAAACAGAAGATGCAAGGCATTGAGGCTACAGCCGCATGCATATATTAGGCGAGGCATAAACAATTAACCCCCTCAAACATAGTTTTAATTCATTCCTGATGTCCTGGGGAATAGGAGCTGTAGGGGTGTAAGTATTTAGGCACACACACGCACACACCCAATCAACATCATAAAAGTGCCGCTTTTTAGTGGAAATGATGGACACACTCTATAACACACTGACACCACAGAACGGTGGCCAATGTCTGTCTGTCGGTCTAAGCTCTAAGAGGAGCTATGCTGAGTAGTGTGAGAGACTACAGTACTGTATGTGCTTTGCAGAGTGACACAGAGTGTGTAGGCTATATGCAGTGTGTGCGTTGTGACAGAAGGCTGCAGTGTGAGTGTGTAGTGCAGTGTGAGAGAAAGGGAGGGGGTCTAAATGTGCACCAGTAGTGGCTGGGTCTCGCATTCGGAAGGCTCACCCTCAGGGGGGGGCAGGTGGTACACCACGCATAGGGAGGAGTACAGACAGCCCACGAATGACATCACGCTGGAAAAGTACATCACTCCCTGGGCCCCGCCCACCAGCGAGGTCAGAGGTCCCATCGCCACAGAGACTATGATCTGAGCTAGGAAGTACTGGCAGCTGAGCAGGGAGATGTCCACCCCCATCCCTCTCCTGGTCCCTTCCTCTGACGAGCCACAGAACTACACACACACAAGAGGAGAGAGACGGCACATGTACGAGTGATACTGTGAACACTTTTACAACAAACACACTTATCCAAATACATCTATAAAGACACAGAGTACCGTGCTATATCAAAACACTTGACCAATACTGTATAAAATACTGTCACCAAAAACAAAATTCGGAACATTATATAATATGTTCACATTTATGTGTTGTATTCAGTGTATTCCCATTGATATTCACTAACCTGCGGGCTCTGGTAGTATTCACACAGCAGAGAGTAAGGCAGTGTGCATAGAGAGGAGAAGAGCACCCCGTAGGTGACACAGAGAGACAGCACCACATAGAGGTTGGTGGAGAGCGTAGCAAGGCCTGTGCCAAGGCCAAACGCCAGGTAGGCAAAGAAATAGAGAGAGCGGAGGGAGAAACGCTCCTCCAACTTCTCCAGTATGGCTATGAATAGAAACAAGGAGAGGAAGAAAACAGAAGGGGGAATACCGGTAAAACAACTGTATGTGATAAAGAATCTAAATGATGGATGTTGTGTGAGGTGTGTGTTTGTGTGTTCTACTCCTGTGTTTTTGTGAGTGTCTGGATGTGTGTGTGGAATGTCGAGTGGATTTACACTGCTACCAGACTGAGTCATCTGTTGAACATGCTCAACAGTGACGACGAGGCAGTTAGCCAGAGCCTCCCTCCTTCTGGACTTACGGAGGAGGAAGGTCCCACTGGCCACAGACACTGAGGACAACTTCCTGGGAGAACTGGACACTCGTGCTGCGGTCTGGTAAGGCTGGCCAGACCTCAACGACCTGTGCAACCCGACTGGAGTAGAGCTCAGATGGACATGGACTGACACACAAACTGAACCAGTGACTACCTCTGATGCAGTTGTGGCAGACTCCTGAGTTGTCGTGGAGGCTTCTGTCACCCATGATGGAACATCCTGCATCGAGGATAACTGCAAGCTTTGCAAAGCAATCACTAGCCTGCTATTCAGTGGAGAGGGTGTGTGGTCCAAGTCTGGGTTTAAGGGTATCTTTTCCAAGCTTAAAAGGATAAACATTCACTCGCAAAACACCATGGGCCAGAAAAGGTTGAATACACTGGCCATGCTGTCAATCCAGCATGACTTCCGCTGCGTTCAAAACAACTCGGAACTGGGAAATCTCAGACTTCAGTGAGTTCAAGACAACTGGGAAGTCGGAAAAAAACTAGCTCCGACTGGGAAAATAGATTTTGAACGGTCATCCAACTCGGAATTCCAAGTCAGGAACTCTGGCCTCTTTCTAGAGCTCCGACCTGAAGATCACTGACGTCATGATTCAACCTTGTTTTTTCCCCCTAGTTCCCAGTTTTCTTGAAAGCACCATAAATCCAGAGAATGCCAGACTTAGATGACAAAGTTTGATAACAATATTTGCCCACAAGAAGGACCGCCGCGCCACCTTACTGTTCAAGTGAGCACAGCACAACTAGGTGAGTCCAAAAATGTATTGTATGCTGCTGCATAAATAATGTAATAGGCCAGGGAGATATGTATACTGTAGCTAAGAAAGTAATACTAAGTGTATGTTGTGTAGTAAGCTGTTAGTAGCCCATGTGCCTCACCCTAATAATTTGGTCCCTTTCCCCCTCATAACTTAGCCTACTGTTCTGACTTGGTGGTGCACATGTAGCCTATAGCCTGTTTTAGAGAAACGTAATCATTGAATATTGTAAGAGCTTTCATTGTCTGCTTATATGCCCCCTTTATTTATCCTACGGTTCTGACCTGGTGTACAGGGAGAATATTGTAAGAACGGCACGTTATGAATTCTGTCGTGCTGAACAAATAGTTATATTGACTATGTCCGTCCTAGCTCGCTCATTAATGGCTTAAACGAAATTACGGATTGCCTCATATTTGAAAGGCTGGTCATGGCTCACATCAACACCATTATCCCAGAAACCCTAGACCCACTTCAATTTGCATACCACCCCAACAGATCCACAGATGATGCAATCTCTATTGCGCTCCACACTGCCCTTTCACACCTGGACAAAAGGAACACCTATGTGAGAATGCTATTAATTGACTACAGCTCAGCGTTCAACACCATAGTGCCCTCAAAGCTCATCACTAAGCTAAGGACCCTGGGACTAAACACCTCCCTCTAGATCTGGATCCTGGACTTCCTGACGGGCCACCCCCAGGTGGTAAGGGTAGGTAACAACACATCCGCCATGCTGATCCTCAACACGGGGGCCCCTCAGGGGTGCGTGCTCAGTCCCCTCCTGTACTCCCTGTTCACTCATGACTGCATGGCCAGGCACGACTCCAACACCATCATTAAGTTTGCCGATGACACAACAGTGGTAGGCCTGATCAGGCCTGATGACAGACAACGACGAGACAGCCTATAGGGAGGTCAGAGACCTGGACGTGTGGTGCCAGGACAACAACCTCTCCCTCAACGTGATCAAGACAAAGGAGATGATTGTGGACTACAGGAAAAAGAAGAGGACAGAGCACGCCCCCATTCTCATCGACGGGGCTGTAGTGGAGCAGGTTGAGAGCTTCAAGTTCCTTGGTGTCGACATCACCAACAAACTAACATGGCCCAAGCACACCAAGACAGTCGTGAACAGGGCACAACAAAACCTATTCCCCCTAAGGAGACTGAAAAGATTTGGCATGGGTCCTCAGATCCTCAAAAGGTTATACAGCTGCACCATCGAGAGCATCCTGACTGGTTGCATCACTGCCTCGTATGGCAACTGCTCGGCCTCCGACCGCAAGGCACTACAGAGGGTAGTGCGTACGGACCAGTACATCACTGGGGCCAAGCTTCCTGCCATCCAGGACCTCTATACCAGGCGGTGTCAGAGGAAGGCCCTAAAAATTGTCAAAGACTCCAGCCACCCTAGTCGTATACTGTTCTCTCTGCTACCGCATGGCAAGCGGTACCGGAGCACCAAGTCTAGGTCCAAGAGGCTTCTAAACAGCTTCTACCCCCAAGCCATAAGACTCCTGAACATCTAATCAAATGGCTACCCAGACTATTTGCATTGCCCCCCTGCCTCCCTCCTCTTTTACGCTGCTGCTATTCTCTGTATATTATCTATGCATAGTCACTTTAACTCTACCTACATGTACATATTACCTCAATTACCTCGACTAACTGGTGCCCCCGCACATTGACTCGGTACCGGTACCCCCTATATATAGCCTCGCTATAGCTATTTTACTGCTGCTCTTTAATTATTTGTGACTTTAAAAAAAAAAAATGTTTTAGGTATTCTTTCTTAAACCTGCATTGTTGGTTAAGGGCTTGTAAGTAAGAATTTCACTGTAAGGTCTACACCTGTTGTATTCGGCACATGTGACAAATAACATTTGATTTGATCCGCTCGTCGTCCCCTTATGCCATAGTTTGTACATCTCAATTGTCAGTAGAAACCACATTTGTTTAAGCAAGTCAGCCAGATCAGCTATGTTTAAAAAAAAGGTAGTAAATAATAATAATAATAATAAGACATTTAGCAGACGCTTTTATCCAAAGCGACTTACAGTCATGCGTGCATACATTTTTGTGTATGGGTGGTCCCGGGGATCGAACCCACTACCTTGCTTCCAGCTGAGCTACAGAGGACCACAATAATATCACTATAATCTGAGTGTTCATTATATGAGGCTGAATTAATAGCCAGGTGTAGCAGTGGTAAGGATTCCCTCCATGGTGCTGATTAGAAAGCTCTGCTGTTGGGACAGCTTTATGAAGGCCCTAACAGTTTGTGGACACCGTTTGTCACCGTTATAGTGCAATTAATGTATTGTTTAGTGTTGTGTAGGTTCTTTGCTGGCATGTATCTAAACATTTTTTTGTTTTGTTTGCCCCACCAACATTTACATTCTAAAATCACCACTGATTTTGATGGGTGTTCATTTAAAAAAAAATGTTTTTACATACGCTCTTATCCAGAGTGACTTACAGTTAGTGAGTGCATACATTTTCATACTGGCCCCCCGTGGGAATCAAACCCACAACCCTGGCGTTGCAACGCGCCATGCTCTACCAACTGAGCTACACGGGACCTTTTGTGGAATTTAAAAAAGGAATCATTTAATACAGTTGAAATGTTTACAAATTAGATGCGCTGAAATTAAAGCAGCTTCCGAAAATGAACACTCAGATTATAGTGAAATTATGTCTGATCTCACAAACAATGTAAAGTATGTATAGATTGGTGTAATCTAGAGCCAAGCCTGTTGATTTTTTATCTGAGGATATTCTGCTATTGAAACCCTTGTTGAATTATGCAACAGAACATGACAACAACAGTAATTGATGAGGCAGTTATATGCAAACGCTCCCATTGTATTTATGCAAATGAAGCACATATAACTTTCTCTGTTTAACACAAAATATTTAAATAAATAACTGATACCATTAGAAAATGTATATATGAGTGCATTCTAAGAAAAAAGTGGCAATATTTCAAATTGAAAACCTGAATTCCCTCCAAAATCTTACATCTCATTATTTGTCTGTGCCAGTAAAATGTTTTATGTTCTATAATTCAGTCAATATCTGATAGATAAAAAACATTTCAAAAAGTTTGGAGCATCTTCATCAATTGTCCAACTTTTGCATTTATTAGAATCGTTTTTTTCAAACCTTTTAACGATTTTGATGCTATTGTTGTTGTGAGGGAGGCCAGGGGGAGGTGCTGATTTTGGAAGGGGCTAGTCATTTGACTGTTACATGAAGCAGGCCTTTGCTGACAAGCTCCTCAAATACCAGCCCCTCGTATCACACTTGGACAGCCTTGGATACAAGTGCAAGTTAGTATCAATGATATTTGGCAGTCTCTGCAACGTATATAGGCTCACAGTACGTGGCCTCCATATCGCTGGCCTGCCTAAGACTAAAGCAAAGCAACTGGCTAGGTACTGTTATAGGCAGCGTAGCTGTTTGGAAAAGAAGGTGCTTTCTGTATCCTTAAGTGTCCATGCATACAATGACCTTTGAAATGTTTGAATCCTTCTTGAATACAATGTGATTTATGGATTCAAATAAAGTATTTAAAATGTGTGTGTTTGTGTGTGTGTGTTTTCTTTTAGTGTTTATGAGTGTGTGTGTGTGTGTGTTTGTGTGTGCAGGACTCACCTGAGTAAAAGGCAGCGCTGAATGCATAGATGCACATGCCCCAGCAGCCCATGCTGACCCCAGCGTTGTAGCGTTGGTAGGCCTCAGAGTCGTGGGGTGCTTTGGGGTCTCCCTCAAACACTACCTCCCCCATGAAGTCAGTGTAGAACAACAGCATGCCCTCAAAGGACAGCCAACCTACAGGATCAAGACAGGGTGGCAGATAGCTCATATCTACATAGACATACTCACACAGCTTCCACTGGAGTACAGACAGCTGCGGTGACATCATCACTGGTGATTTTAACCTTAGTAGGCATACAGACAATGAAACACAAGCACATGAGTGACATGACTCTCACCCAAAAAATGGTTAGTGCAGAGGCTGCGCAGTGACGGAGGCATCCTGTAGATGGCGATACACAGTAGCCTCATTGACATCTGTGAATCTGCTGTCTCCACATTTTCACTCAGGTCACTCTCATAGCGCACCCCATTCAGCAGAATGTTTGCCACCTTTATCACAGGAAGAACAAGAAGAATCAGATACATGAATTATCTCAACATGATAATTTGTTAACAAACTAATCAGAGGAATTAAACTCCAGGCTGACCTGCTGACTGAAGGTCACCGTTCTTCTGCGGCCATTTTCCAGCCCTCCACTCTGGATCACCATTGGCTCCTCCACTAGCGCAAGGCTCTGAGGGCGCTTCAGGATACCAGCGGACGAACCTCGATGGGACCCTGCCCCCATCTGAGCCGCCCCGGCCTGGGATCCTGCCCCAGCCAGGGCCACTGTCCCAGCCACGGTTAGTGCTCCAGCCTGTGACCCAGTTCCAGGCTGAGATCCCTGGGGAGGTGGGGTGTCCCCTGGAGGCAGTGGTCGGGCTGCAGTGTCCTGGTCAAGGGGCTGTGGCGATGGCTGTCCGGTGTAGCAGTCGATGAGCACACTGTCAATATAGGATGTTCCCAAGGATGAGGCGAACTCATTGATGCCAGTGAGAGAGTTATCCCGACTGATAAAGCTGCCATATTTAGGAGTAAGGGGGCTGAGGGGTGAGATGGGGCTGGTGAGGCCGGCACAGAGGCGTGCGTTGGCACTACAGGAGTGTGCCATGGGGTTAGGGTTCGAGGGGTGGGGTTCAGAGAACTGGTAGCTATAAAGCCTCTCATCTTCCTCTTCCAATCCCAGGCTTGCCCCCGGTGGGATAGGGGGAGAGGGGGGCAGAGGGAGGCTGGGGCTCTTTAGAGAGTTTTTAGAGTTCTTCTGAGGCTGCGTCTTTGGCAGGGGCCGCTCTGGGATGCTGTTGAGGGTCATGCATGTGGCAATGACCAAAGTGACACTGGTGAACATGTATATGACTCGAAGTTGACCTCCCATTGACCTCCCAAACTCAGTGTGGTCCCAGTTAATTCCACCCACGATGTACCCGAATCCACCACCCAGACCTGCATAGAGAGAGTGGGACATAATCATCATAGAACTGATCATCATGGCAATGACATTTGATTATGCTATCACTCTATCACATCTTAGACGTATTATATATGTTATGTTTAACTCTACATTGTCAGAAGTGTTTTATATGTACATTTTACTGTCTCACCTACCAGTGGTGAGTGTTATAGCCTATGGGTATGTATGACGTTCTCGAACCAGCCAGTAGTGTATAGCGTTCCCTGACTGACCAGTAGTTAGTGTTTACAGTGCTCTCTAACCTGCCAGCAGTGCATGAATATTGAGGCCACGGTCCTGGTCCTCTGGCAGGCACACGTCCATCATGTAGGCGTGGCTGGGATTATCTGCTGAGTCCGCACTGAAGTCCATCAGAACCACTCCACAAATAGTCAGTATGATGCCCCACTTGTGATTGGTTGCTGTGTCTGCCACCGCAGCTCCAATGTCTCGCCCATTCAGCACCAGTGTCAAACCAAGCAGAGCTCCTACAAAGGTAAAACAGAGAACTCCACTTCAGGACTACAATATTAGTTAAAAACATGAACCCATTTTCACCAGAGGAGGGAGAGCCTTGCAAGACAGAATATTCCTTACCAATAGCCAAGGCTAAAATAAACGGTCTCCGACGGCCAAAGCGGGATGTACAACGGTCACTCCAAGCTCCCAGGAGAGGCTGGACCAGGAATCCTTAAAACCATGAGGAGAAAGGAGAAGGATTTAGGGGCATTCAATGGGATATGCTGATGAGAACATCAATATAATTTAACTATACTATTCAAAGCATAGTTATGTACTATCTTTTTCCAATAAAACAGGACTTTCTGTATCTACTTCATCTCTCCCTGCCACTTCATTACCCAATATAGGGCTGATGAACCACACCAGGCTGTAGAACTCATCTGGCAGACCCATCTGTAGCAGGACAGGGGTGACATAGGCCGTCTCCATGGCGTAGCTGAACTCAATGCCAAACAGGACACAGCCATTGAAGAGCAGCTCAGGGAAGGTGCGGCGAGGGGGCAGCTCACTGAGGTCCAGCTGATCTAGGGGGCAGGGGGTGTTGGGCGGAGGGGGCGGGGACGGTCTGATCAGCTTCCGCCGCTTCGGGTGTCTCTGGAAGTTGTTGGCACGGTGACTCAGGAGGCGTGTGGTAGACGATGGGAAGCTGGCGGTCTTGGGCATGGAGCTCCTCCAGAGGCCATCATTAGTGGCACCCAGTGACCTCTCTGATGACCTCCCTCCTGGGCTGGCCAACAGGGGGTCACTGGGGGTGCCCATTCCTGGAGATGACATCACTCTGCTGGGCCCAGTTTACTCTGCACACACTAGGAGATGCTCATTCATAGGTCAAAATGCAATCAGATTAAAGTTTAAAGAGAAATATACAATTTTATGAGGAGGTAGACTGTACAGTAAGGAGGCATGTCAATAACAGACTTGCAGTCATTACATCCATAAAGTATTTAATCATAATTTGGCAAGCTACTTTTAGAGGACACTCAAGGTAAAATCTGCTCATATGGCTAGTACTGTAAAACAGGAGAGGAAGGCGTAGACACCAAGGGAACCGGCGGCAAGGACACTGCCAGCCTATGATGGCACTATGCTCCTCGTGGGCAAGACGCACTGCAACAAATGCGCATGTTGATGGTGATGTGCGCAAAACCCATGTGCTCGAGTACACCAGTGTGGTATGCGGCATCGTCTCTCACCGTGGCTGTTTCCGTTTACATTTTTCATGGATGTATTTTGCCCATGTAAAAAGGTAATCGGAAGCGTAGGAGCTATAAAAAGCCATTGCCACAAATCGCCTCAAATAACAAACGTTTTAACATGCTAGGCTACACATTATTTATTTGTGAAACACACGTCTTTAAACATTAAAAAGATGCCAAGCATGAGACTAGGGCTTGATAGGTCTGGTTTGTCATTCAATGTCTATCAATTGTCATCGACGTTATGCTCATTGACTTGAAAACAGTTTTGTTCTCGAGTCAAGGTGATGATTATACAATCGAATTAACACATGGTTTTAGACATGACAAGGCGTGCAAATTGAAACATGAAATAAATTACCTTATCAGGGTTTCTCTGTCATTTATTTCAGCATTCTCTGTTGGTAAACAAGTCAATCATATTTATGCCTTATAATATTTACGTTGGATGAGAGAAATCATGTTTTTTTTCCTTAGATGCAGTCATCTCCCTTCTTTATCCTCCGTCCGGTTTCCTTCCCCCTCTCTTCCCTCTTTCTCTCCCTTCCCTTGTCCCTCACCCGTGACGTCACATCACCCCTCCTGTTCCCTGCGCTTGGTACTTGGTAGACCTGCAGCCTCAGCACCAATACATATGAAGTTTGCGACATACACATTTAAAGGGCCAGTGCAGTCAAAAACATGATTTTCCTGGGTTTTATATATATTTCCACACTATGATGATGCTAATGCCCCTTTAGTGTAAGAGCTGCTTGAAAAGACTGCCTGTTTTGGTGGGATGGAGCTTTGGCCTTCCTGGTGAATAGACCAATAAGAACGAGAGTTCCAAACCTTTCTGACAATAACATCTAGTTGACAGTTTTCCCCTCCCCACTCAGACCACTCCCAGACAGTCCTAGCAAAATGATTGCTTGAGAAATTGCTCTTTGCTAAGAAGCTATTGTTGTTTCTTTTTTTTTACCATTTCAATTTAAAACAATCACAGTAAGGTACTTAATTGTTACCCAGAAATGATATGATATTGAGATAAAAACGGCTGCATTGGACCTTTAAAACTATTGCCAACAACACTGACCAATAGTTAAAAGTAGTATAGAAATGTCAGACAATTTACCATACAAATTAGCCTGGGCTTAGACTACCAAGACAAACATCTGCATTTGGTTTTTGTGTTGTCCAGACAGTTTTACCTAAATATTAGCCCAATACGCAATGAAGTTTCATAGAAATGCTCTCTTGTAGAAGTACAGTTGCCTAGTAGTTTTATTTTCATAAACCATAATGAGCAGCATGAAAGCTGATGACAATACTGTGTCTTCTCCTGTTAACCTTTGATCTCACCAACATTTCATAACATAACACCTGCCACACCTTTGTTAACTATCGAAGCATGAGGTCTGATAACAACAGCCTCAGACACCGTTTCTATCTACAAGCCATCAGACTGCTGAACACTTGAACTGGACTGACAAGCTGCTCTGATTCTCCACAACTTAACACACACGCACTCAACTCACGCTACCACCCACCCACACAGACATCCAACTCAAATCAAATGTTATTTGTCACATGTGCTGAATACAACAGGTGTAGACCTTACCATGAAATGCTTACTTACAATCCCTTAACCAACAATGCCATTCAAGAAATAGAATTAAGAAAATATTTACTAAAGAAAATAAAGTCAAAAAAAATTAAATAAGTAACACAATAAAATAACAATAACGAGGCTATATACAGAGGGTACCGGTACCAAGTCAATGTGCGGGGGTACAGGTTAGTCGAGGTAATTTGTAGATGTAGGTAGGGGTAAAGTGACTATGCATAGGTGGGTGGGGGAGTCTCTGACTATTTTTTGGGCCGTCCGCTGACACTGCTAGTATGTAGGTCCTGGATGGCAGGAAGCTTGGCCCCAGTGACGTACTGGGACGTACGCACTACCCTCTGTAGCGCCTTACAGTCGGAGGCCGAGCAGTTGCTATACCAGGCAGCGATGCAACCGGTCAGGATTGTATAACTTTTTGAGGATCTGGGAACCCATGACAAATCTTTTAATTCTCCTGAGGGGGAAAGGTGTTGTTGTGCCCTATTCACAACTGTCTTGGTGTGTTTGGGCCATGATAGTTTCTTGGTGATGTGGACACCAAGGAACTTGAAACTCTCGACCCGCTTCACTACAGCCCCGTCGATGTGAATGGGGGCATGTTCGGCCCTCCTTTTCCTGTAGTCTACGATCAGCTCCTTTGTCTTGCTCACGTTGCGGGAGAGGTTGTTGACCTGGCACCACACTGCCAGGTCTCTGACCTCCTCCCTATAGGCTGTCTCATCGTTGTCTGTGATCAGGCCTACCACTGTTGTGTCATCAGCGAACTTAATGATGGTGTTGGAGTCGTGCTTGGCCATGCAGTCGTGGGTGAACATGGAGTACAGGAGGGGACTAAGCACGCACCCCTGAGGGGCCCCCGTGTTGAGAATCAGCGTGACAGATGGGTTGTTGCCTACCCTTACCACCTGGGGGCGGCCCGTCAGGAAGTCCAGGATCCAGTTAAAGAGGGAGGTGTTTAGTCCCAGGGTCCTTAGCTTAGTGATGAGCTTTGTGGGCACTATGGTGTTGAACGCTGAGCTGTAGTCAATGAACAGCATTCTCATATAGGTGTTCCTTTTGTCCAGGTGGGAAAGGGCAGTGTGGAGTGCGATTGAGATTGCGTCATCTGTGGATCTGTTGGGGCGGTATACGAATTGGAGTGGGTCTAGGGTTTCCAGAATGATGGTGTTGATGTGAACCATGACCAGCCTTTCAAAGCACTTCGTGGCTACCGACGTGAGTGCCAGGGGGCGGTAGTCATTTAGGAAGGTTACCTTTGCTTTCTTGGGCACAGCGACTATGGTGGTCTGCTTGAAACATGTAGGTATTACAGACTCATGTCAACATTCACAAGGCCGCAGGCCAGAAGGATTACCAGGATGTGTACTCAGAGTATGCGCGGACCAACTGGCAAGTGTCTTCACTGACATTTTCAACCTCTCCCTGACACCGGTAAAAGGTCTTATTTCTGGACATTGATAATCAATTCCAGGAGTAGTTAATGCACGTCGCTTGACCCATAAAAAAAATGAAAAAGGATAAAAGTTTATCTGTATTATTGATGTTTGATGATTATTTACCACCCTATGTGAAGTTGGGATATATAAGATACGCCGTAAGAGCGTTCGTGCAAAACCCGATGCAATGCAAGAAGTGTAAAAAGTTTGGCCATGTGTCAAGTGTTTGCAGATGGAAGGAATATGTTATTGAAGAGTCTGTGAATGTAAAATGTTACAACTCTGGTGGGGATCATATTTCCGAATTCCCTGACTGCCCTGTTAGGGTGAAAGAGGTTGAGGTGTCAAGGATCAGGGCTGTACAGCAAATCTCCTATGTGGAGGCGGTGAAGAGCATTGAAGGGGCAAGAGGCCACAGTCTGAAGAAGATATGGTGGTGGATGCACCACAACCAGTTGCAAATGTTATACTTCAATCAAGTGATAAGATCAACAGACGTTTTTGGTATGTTTCAAAAGTGTTACATAAATATTTGTTGGCATTTTATTGCTTTGAAATGTATAGGAATGAAGGATGTAGGTAATGTGTCAGTCTGGTGTAGAAGGATTGTTCTACTCAGTACTGTCTATTATCGATTGCGGTTATAATATCGTTTAGGACCTTGAGCATGGCTGAGGTGCACCCATGACCAGCTCGGAAACCGGATTGAATTTATGTTAACTACATTACTTCAGTTGGCTGCTTTGAGCAAATCCTCAATGTAATATAACCTATTCTAGGAGCCTATTGTGTATGATCTTTCTTAATTGTTCACTTGTTTTTCAACAATGTCAGCTACAGGCAGGGATGACTGGGGCCTTCCGCAAGTAATAAATAATTTGAACATCAGTTATTCCCACTGAAGCCCATGGTAAAGTTAACTACATTACTTGAATGTAATATATCCTATTATGTGAGCCTAGTGTGTATGTATAAACTATGTGGAATAGTTTTGGACCATTTGCTTCCCTGAAAACAGGTCCTGACAGGAGGAGGAGCAATATGAGTCTGTCAGAGGCCGTCAAGCTGGCTGGTGATGGTGGAGGCTTTGGTTGTCCACACAGCAAAGAAGCAGGTGCTGACCTTGGTGCCAGTAAGGATGGTCTTCACGGAGGCAATACGACCCTCCGTCCTTGATATAGAAATCGTTCTACTTCACTGCCTCTTCAATGGTAAGGTCCCTTGCACCATGGGGACACTTGACCACCACTGCTGTGGTGCCCACCAGACCATCCGGTGAGGCACCCAGCATCCCAGACCCGTGACCCAAAGCCCTGACTCCTGCACATCCATCCCTGTAGGTCCTCCACTGACTGTACCTGGTTGGGCGCAGCTGGCTTCCTCCACTCGCATTCCACATCCGTACGGCCGATATTGCGAACCACCAAAATAGGCTGCATGGCGACACTTATGAGCTCCACGGAGGCATTCACATGTGGTAGAGAGAATCCCCTGGTCACCTATAGAGACCTTGCCAAGAGGAAGAATGTTAAGTGCCACATGCCTTTCAATGCATGACTTTGAACACCTTGAAATGAATTTGTTGTAAGAAATGTGCTATACACTGTAAATAGTTTGATTTCTTTTATGACATTGCACCTGTAGAATATTTAATAAACTGTCATTTTCACATGAGGACAAGTGCAGTTTTTCCATTAACTTTCTAAATTAACTTGGGATTTTATCACTTGACATATCAATCATATATTGGGAAGGATCCTATAAATCAAGACTGTGAATGCATGTACCACTCCTGATAGATTAATTATTAATGACTAATTATTACACCCTGAAACTGTGTATAATGTGTTAGAAATGTGTGAGTGTAGGACCAGTAAAGGCTATGGCATTGAGCCACTATTTAGCAATGTGAGTAAGAGTTAGGCCAGACAACAAAGACAACTGAGACAACTGAGAAACAACTGAGAAACTAAGATAAAGAGGCCTCCTGTGTGTGTGTATGTGTGTATGCATGTGTGTATATGTGTGTGTGTGTGTGTGTGTGTGTGTGAACTGATGGTCAGTAGAGCAGTTTTAGAGTGGAAAACTACAGCCCACCTACAGAGGGGAGAGATTTTTTTGTATGACGTATGAGTATAAAAGATGGACTCTGAAATTGTGATGGCAGAATTCTCAATGAATAAATATCTCTGACTATGCAGACCGGGACTCTGGCCGTTACTTAAATCCCAAAAGACATACAACCTTTTGGGAGACGCACAGAGACACTAAAATAGTTTGTTAAATAATTCACGTAACAACTCCAAATAAATAAATATGATACCTGATGCTTCTCTTTTTTAAGTAGAATATGTGTAAATATTGGACTAAAAATTGTGCCTTCCTGTATATTTATGCTAAAATATTTATATTCTACTGGGCCATTTACTTTATGCTCATATTCTTATATTTTATTATTTCTTGTTGCATTATCGAGAAGGAACCTGCAAGTAAGCGTTTCATTCCACCTGTATGCAACCTGGACTCAGGGGTAGACATAACATAATAAACGTAAATTCGTGATAAACCAATTAATTTAATATGTAACATTTCATATGGTATGTATAAATTTATGGATGCCCATCATCCATTTCATATGATATATTACCAATTAAAATTTGTATGATATGCTACGAATTGGAATTCCTACAATATGGCAATTCGTACTATATGTTACACATTTTCTAAATGTATGATATGTTACAAATTCCAATTTGTTGTGGCTAACGCTAACCTTAGCTAGATGGCTAACATTAGCTAGGCTAGCGGTTAGGTGAAAGGGTTAAGCTTAGCTATCATGCTAAGAAGTTGCAAAGTAGCAAGTACCTAAAGTTGTCTGTGATGAGAATCAAACACGCAACCTTTGGGTTGCAAGACGTTCACATTATACGCCCACCCACCCTACTTTCTGCCTTAAGTAACCTGTTTTATTTAACCATACCAAACATAACATATCATACTAATTTGAGTGTCCCGAATTTAAATGTACTATATTACCTCTAGTCTATGAGACCAGGCTGGTGTATACCATGAGTGTCCCGTACATATAGGACTAATAAAACGTTAAACTTTAAAATGTGTCTATATGTCTTGTGCTTCAAAAGCATGGACAAACTGCGTGAAATTACATAATCTTTTAATATATAGCTAGATATAATCCCAGCTATTCACTTTACTCAACAATACTGGAAATTGGAATATAGGCAACTTTGTATCTGCTCATAAAAATGTATACTTTATGTTATCAAACCTGCCCACGTGCTGAGCCTCGTCACCCCAGGGTGTTGTTCTCGATTGTGATTGGATATCAATATGGAAATAGGCGTGGTCGTTGTACTTTCGCGTAGTAGGCTCGTTGTGCAACTGTCTTGTCTGCTATAGTCTGTTGAGAAAATCGTTTTTACTGACGTACCTAGAGTCTCTAGTCAATTCAATACATTCTGTGGAAATGGCAAAGATTGAACTAAATCCAGTTGGAACGAACTTGTTGAAGAGTGTTTCTGGAGAGGTACGTATGTGTTGAAACGTCAATGTGTGTGTGAGATAATGGTGTGTTAGTTTAGGCTCCTAGCTAGCGCTAGCTATCTGTCTTGGAATATACATACTAAGTAGATACAGACCCAGGTTTTTACCGGGTCTGCCAGATATCTGTTTTCTCATTATCAGGTTGTGCCAGGTCTGGAAAGGTTGTGATTGGCTTTCCTAGCCAGCTAACTACTTACTTTGCGAGCCACAGGCAGCACTTTAATGATGATTGGTATAATGCCTCCCCTGCTGAAATCTACCTTATTATTGCAGCAAATTGTAAATGGAATCCCCCAGGTATGGGTCAAAGTGATCATTTGTAAGGGAATACAGTTCAGTAGAGGGAGCACAACCATTGATCTTCCCCATCTCAACCACTCCCCATCTACCTCCTCCCTCAACATTTCATCTCTCCTGATCACTTCTATTCTGCCTCCCTCCTCACTCCCTCAATGTTTCATAACATTGACTGTTCACTCAGTCATCGTCTGTAAGCCACTAATGTACTTCATTCAACTTAAACATTCTCCTATGAGAGATAACATAACTACATTTACATTTTACATTAGTCATTTAGCAGACGCTCTTATCCAGAGCGACTTACAGTTAGTGAGTGCAGACATTTTCATACTGGCCCCCCATGGGAAACGAACCCACAACCTTGGTGTTGCAAAGGCCATGCTCTACCAACTGAGCTACAGGTAAGTAACCGTCCTCCCTCACTAACATAACTATTCAGGGCAGTAACCTCCCTCCCTCACTCAGGGGGCTCCCGAGTGGCGCACGGTAGTGATTGGGAGTCCCATAGGGCGGCGCACAATTGGCCCAGCGTCGTCCGGGTTTGGCCGGGGTAGGCCGTCATTGTAAATAATAATTTGTTCTTAACTGACTTGCCTAGTTAAATAAAGGTAAAATAAAAAATGTTTCATAACATGTCAATTTTCTCTGTCATTTGTTGCAGAGTGTGGAGCTCCAGTCTTTATGGCGCGACAAGCCTGTGGTCCTGTTCTTCCTGCGTAGGTTTGGCTGCCAGGTGTGCCGCTGGACAGCAGCAGAGATCAGTAAACTTGAGCCAGACCTGACAGCCAACGGTATCGCCCTGGTGGGCATCGGACCTGAGGAGACGGGCCTGAAGGAGTTTAAGGAGGGGGGATTCTTCAAAGGAGGTAAAAAAAATCCATGGCTGTTTTGCAAAAAAAATATTCTAGATTGGGGGCACAGAGTCAGTTGTCTAAAATCACATTGGGCAATACACCAATGATGTCTACAACCCAACCTTTTTGACTTCTCAAGCAACCACAAATGTATTCAAACACAATTGACTTTTAAAAAAATGGTTAAAGAAAAATATTTTATTCAAGCAAATATAGTATATAAAAAATGTATCTTTGAATACCATTTACTTTTTAATGACAATATTTGTCATTTAGAATCAATAGAAGCTTTGTCACCCTTACACAACACATGTAGCTTCCTTTTGTAACACTCAGTGAGAGAGGGTGTGTCCTAGGAGCCATAGTTACATAGTTATGGCCATTTACTTAGAAAGCAATAAACTTGCCTCCTGATGGATTTCACAGCCAACCTTAAATGTCCTGCTCTGCCATAGTAAGAGTTTTGAGAATTTGTGGATCGTATCATAATCATCCTGTTGTCTTCTGTGGCAGACCTTTACATTGACGAGAAAAAGCAGTGCTACAAGGATCTGGGCTTCAAAAGGTAAGTTAGGTCGTCTGTGTACTATTTACTTATCTAGATGTACTACTTGGAGTGCAAGAAGTAAAAAATAGCTCTTGCATAGAACTTACATTTGTAATCTTACATTTGTAAATAGGTACACGGCTCTTAGTGTGGTTCCTGCAGCACTGGGGAAGAAAATACGAGAGGTTACGACAAAGGTAATGTTTGTGATTTCACTTTGTCCAATAACATTGCTGTATCATGGTTGACGCAGGACGGGGGTTATGTTCAGTTGATACTGCATGTATATGGCCTCTTCTGTCTGTCTGAGTGGAATTGGAAGGTGTTTTACATGGTTCGTCCTCCGCTCTGTCCTCCAGGCCAAAGCTCAAGGGATCCAGGGGAACTTCACTGGGGACCTCCTACAGAGTGGAGGCATGCTCATCGTGGCCAAAGGTAGGTCCAAACAAAGACACAGGGAGAAAAGGTTGAAGTACATTCCAGATAATCGCCAGACTGAACCATATATAGCTCAGAAATACACCATACAGCTGTCAGGGGTTGACCTGAATGGAAAGACATCTCACAGCTGTTGTGATTAGAATTGATTGCTGGAAAGATACGTTTTTCAAATATTATCTAAATACATTAAAGAAAGCAATGTGTGATAATAAGTGTCATGAGTTAAGATCCTCAGGGGATTTTTTCATAAATAGCTGAAATGCTTTGGCCACTTTTTGTGTACTGTACCAAAGATTTTTATAACTAACCCAAGATACACTACAGCCTGTTTCCAATGGGAGCAAATGAAGCATAGTAAGCAGAACAAGCAAGGAGGTGGGCAAAACCAAGCACGAGCTAGCGAGATCCTATTGGTTCGTTCTAGCATGTATTTGCATATTTCCATTAGGGTACGCCTACCTTATGAAGTCTGCGTGTGGAATGACTAAATTCGCCCTTGCACGCTTCTAAACAAGGCACCAGTCTCGCTCCATCTTCTCCCACTGCCGGCCACTGGGCTTCCTCTCATCACCATATTTGGTGGTGAGTGGAAATTCCAACCACATGCTTCAGATTTATACATCAGCTGAAACATCTGGCTCCTTGTTCTATCTGTGACTAAACTATAGACTCTCCACCAGAGGGCAGTGTGATAACATGTCAGTTGACACTGGACTGGTATTTGAGGTTGTTGGCATGCATCTCGGCCTGTCCATGCTGTGTTTGTGTACTATACAGGTGGAGAAAAAGTTCTGCTGCACTTTGTCCAGGATTCACCCGGAGACTATGTACCATTGGAGGACATTTCCAAGGCTCTCGACATCTCAGCCAATGTACAGGCAGGGGAGAGACCACAGGTAAGTTGGCACCCTACCAATGACGGGTAAGGCAAGAACATGCTTGAGAGAGACAATGTTCTGGAATAATTTATATTTATATTATCATGATTTAGTGATTACTGCTGGTGTGAAAGGGCACAGAGTGGAACTTTTTGATCTGATCCTCACTCTGAGATAAAGAGCTGAGTTTTTCCAAGCTGCAGACAAGTTCCTTATGGTGATTTTCCACTGATGCTGTGTGCAGACATAGCCACACATGTATCAGAGAATACTCCTTATTGACAATGCCACACACGTTCTGCCTGCACTCCATGATCCAGATCTCTTCTTCAATTTTAGATAGGCAGCCTGTATTATGACTCTTACTTTTCCAAACCTCTTTGAGCCTTGACAATGGTCTTTCTGGCTGGTGTAATAGTTCTTTCAGCATATCCCTACAGTATGAGGTTTTGAAATGGCTCCCATGAGAACCCGATGATGGCTCATAGTGCTCCTGTGGAATCAGGAAGAGAACAGATAGACCAAGAATACCATAGCTGCTGTGTCATCTCCAGAGGATGTTCCTGTGAATACAGTGAGGGAAAAAAGTAATTATCAGTCTATAATTTTAATGGTAGGTTTATTTGAACAGTGAAATCCAGAAAAACGCATGTCAAAAATGTTATAAATTGATTTGCATTTTAATGAGGGAAATAAGTATTTGACCCCCTCTCAATCAGAAAGATTTCTGGCTCCCAGGTGTCTTTTATACAGGTAACGAGTTGAGATTAGGAACACACTCTTAAAGGGAGTGCTCCTAATCTCAGCTTGTTACCTGTATAAAAGACACCTGTCCACAGAAGCAATCAATCAATCAGATTCCAAACTCTCCACCATGGCCAAGACCAAAGAGCTCTCCAAGGATGTCAGGGACAAGATTGTAGACCTACACAAGGCTGGAATGGGCTACAAGACCATCGCCAAGCAGCTTGGTGAGAAAGTGACAACAGTTGGTGCGATTATTCGCAAATGGAAGAAACACAAAAGAACTGTCAATCTCCCTCGGCCTGGGGCGCCATGCAAGATCTCACCTCGTGGAGTTGCAATGATCATGAGAACGGTGAGGAATCAGCCCAGAACTACACGGGAGGATCTTGTCAGTGATCTCAAGGCAGCTGGGACCATAGTCACCAAGAAAACAATTGGTAACACACTATGCCGTGAAGGACTGAAATCCTGCAGCGCCCGCAAGGTCCCCCTGCTCAAGAAAGCACATATACAGGCCCGTCTGAAGTTTGCCAATGAACATCTGAATGATTCAGAGGAGAACTGTGTGAAAGGGTTGTGGTCAGATGAGACCAAAATCGAGGTCTTTGGCATCAACTCAACTCGCCGTGTTTGGAGGAGGAGGAATGCTGCCTATGACCCCAAGAACACCATCCCCACCGTCAAACATGGAGGTGGAAACATTATGCTTTGGGGGTGGTTTTCTGCTAAGGGGGCAGGACAACTTCACCGCATCAAAGGGACAATGGACGGGGCCATGTACCGTCAAATCTTGGGTGAGAACCTCCTTCCCTCAGCCAGGGCATTGAAAATGGGTCGTGGATGGGTATTCCAGCATGACAATGACCCAAAACACACGGCCAAGGCAACAAAGGAGTGGCACAAGAAGAAGCACATTAAGGTCCTGGAGTGGCCTAGCCAGTCTCCAGACCTTAATCCCATAGAACATCTGTGGAGGGAGCTGAAGGTTCGAGTTGCCAAACGTCAGCCTCGAAACCTTAATGACTTGGAGAAGATCTGCAAAGAGTGGGACAAAATCCCTCCTGAGATGTGTGCAAACCTGGTGACCAACTACAAGAAACGTCTGACCTCTGTGATTGCCAACAAGGGTTTTGCCACCAAGTACTAAGTCATGTTTTGCAGAGGGGTCAAATACATACTTCTCTCATTTAAAATGCAAATCAATTTATAACATTTTTGACATGTTTTTCTGGATTTTTTGTTGTTATTCTGTCTCACTGTTCAAATAAACCTACCATTAAAATTATAGACTGATCATGTCTTTGTCAGTGGGCAAACGTACAAAATCAGCAGGGGATCAAATACTTTTTTCCCTCACTGTAGGTTGAGCTGTTGATCATTTGTTGTAGGGAGAGGTCAGCCTGGCAGCGTTTACATTTTTAACCTGTAGAAAATATTCTTGGTGATTTAATAGTTAATGTGTTAGAATCTGTCTAAATAATGTCTTATCTTAAACCACCATTCAGATAAACAAATTGGAGCTATAAAGTTGTCTGTTTACTGATGAGTGCCCGGTCTGGCCACCTTGAGGTTATACAAACAGCAGCCTCTTCCTGTTTACATTTACATTTGACATTTAAGTCATTTAGCAGACGCTCTTATCCAGAGCGACTTACAGTTAGTGAGCGCATACATGTTTCACTATTAGTTCATGTCATTTACTTTCAATTTGCATACAGCCCTTTGAATAGTCACTAGGAGTGTGCATATTTCCCTTTCAAGATGATTTGATACGTATCTAGATACATGGGCTCCGAAATGATACAGGAACGATAAATTTTAGTTTGAAACAATTCGGTGCTATTAGGTTTGATTAGAGAATGAATCGATGTGATCCGGTTTGATACGATTCGATGCACTAACATTTGTTTCATCAACACATTCATTTTACATTCTAAACTAAAATCTTCTGCTGATGGAGCTCATGAGCTGGGCCTGTCTGAGCTGGGCCTGTCTGAGCTGGGCCTGTCTGAGCTGGGCCTGTCTGAGCTGGATCTCTCTGAGCTGGATCTGTCTGAGCTGGGCCTGTCTGAGCTGGGCCTGTCTGAGCTGTATCTGTCTGAGCTGTATCTGTCTGAGCTGGGCCTGTCTGAGCTGGGCCTGTCTGAGCTGGGCCTGTCTGAGCTGGGCCTGTCTGAGCTGGGCCTGTCTGAGCTGAAGTGTGTGTGTGTCAGGGTTTCCGTCAGGAAAATGTGGCACCGGACATTTGACCAGCAGCATTTTAATTTATCGGACATTTGAGAAATGTACCGGCCCCATATGCATTGGTTGCGTAACCTGATTAGGACATCCACCCACGTGCTCAGAATGACAGAAATCACATTTAGATTATGGTAATTCATATTAGCAGAACATGCAATTCGAGGATGCAACGATATGTAACAACTAGCATGGGTTGATAATATGACTAGGATTGTGCCTTTGGCTAATGAACAATGAAAGAAAGTTGATATAAAATAATTGCCTCACGGATATGCTCAGAATTTGGCTAGGCTACGCAAGGTGCCTCAAAATATGTAGTAAAACGTTCAGGTTTCAATCAATTAAGTATATGTTTCCAAATTCATACTGCCTCCAGCTCATTGCAAAGTGGTGTGTGATGTGCTGACGAAGCCTGCCTTCCGTTGCATATACATTTGCTGTTTGAGATGCTGTAGCAGCAGCTCTCGGGCTGTCTGTCAGATTTTCCGCCCAAAGGCTCTATATCTGTATGCTGTATGTGTGTGATAAATAGGATACATAACAAATATACTGTAGGGAAGACTGGGGATGGGTGTAACACTTTTCACCTTTTCGTCAGTTTCTCAGAGATCGTTTATGGTAATGTATTCAAAACTTGATACAAACAACCTACATCTGTCCTTTACAAATTGGTGTGGTTATTATATATGTAAAACAAACTGCAAATGCATGGTGTTGTCTTAAATACAAGTAGTGAAGTGTTACAATTTACCCCATGGTCTGGGTTAGTTGTAACAGTGCTTGGGGTGAATTGGAACATAATGAGAGGGCATAAATCATGACATGCAACTAATTATTGAACGCCTTTGTAGAGACCATGAGAGCAACATTGCCATGCTTTAACATTTTGTTTGGCAGAAATAATAATAAATATAAATAATAAAATGTTTATTATTTTACCCTACACTAAATGGTCTTTCTCAACCAAACAACAACTAGGCTGTCCTGGGGTACAGGATTGGTGGGCCCATAATTTGCATTCCCAGCACGACCCAGACCTCCTTGGACTTGGAATTGTTAAAGTGCTCCATGCACACAATGCAGACGTTTTCCTCATTGGAGGAATCTGAATCTTCTGGTTCAATGTGCTTTGTTTTTGCTTTTTTCTTAGGCAGGACAGTGTTTTGTTGTTGTTCAGTGTGGTTTGTCTTGGCTTGCTTCTTTCCATCTGTTTTTTTTAGGCAGGGCAAAAAAAAAATATGTGACTTGACTTTTGATGCTCTTCTTCCAGTGCCTGAGATTGACGGGTGTATCCGTCAATCTCAGTTTTTCTCCTCTTCCTACCCCTTGTTGTAATTTTCCTGGGACCTGCTTTTGGGAAGGGGCGTACATCAACTGGGTTGAAATCAGAACAGTAATCAGGTGTTTCCCAGCCACAGCCTGAACCATGTGGGGAGGTGCCCTGTGAAGTGGCTGGAGAGGTGGCCTGGGAGGCAGCTGGAGAGGTGGCCTGGGAGGCAGCTGGAGAGGTGGCCTGGAAGGCAGCTGGAGAGGTGGCCTGGGAGGCAGCTGGAGAGGTTGCCTGGGAGGCAGCTGGAGAGGTGGCCTGGGAGGCAGCTGGAGAGGTGGCCTGGATAGCAGTGGGCACAGTGGTCATAAATCAGCTGCCCTCAAGAGATACACTGACAACTTCTGCTCCTGCTCATACACAAAGACCCTGTTTCCACTACAGTAGCCTGCATGAGGAAGCTCTCTCAATCCCTTCTCCAGTAGCTTCTTTCTCTCTTTGCAGAATCTGTACAGCGTCACATAACATATGCCATACAAATTTGCAACTGATCTGATTGACTTCCCCTGCTCTGCTACATCATTTGATGCCCTTTCAAAGTGTGGAGAGGGACTCCCCTGTCTGTCTTTCTTTTCCATGGTCTCGGCATGCTGAAAGTAAAAGAAAAGATGTACCAAAAACATTCCGTTTTACTCAGGGTTAGTTGTAACATTTTCTCACCGGTTGTTACAACTAACCCTGACCCTTGCAGCCAATACCTAGCTTCCATTTGAGCTAAATGTTCAAACTTTAGCATTGCTAATTTGCATCAAATATCTCTACACAGACTGGTTATAAACCTGATATACAGTGAGGGAAAAAAGTATTTGATCCCCTGCTGATTTTGTACTTTTGTCCACTGACAAAGAAATGATCAGTCTATAATTTTAATGGTAGGTTTATTTGAACAGTGAGAGACAGAATAACAACAAAAAAATCCAGAAAAACGCATGTCAAAAATGTTATAAATTGATTTGCATTTTAATGAGGGAAATAAGTATTTGACCCCTCTGCAAAACATGACTTAGTACTTGGTGGCAAAACCCTTGTTGGCAATCACAGAGGTCAGACGTTTCTTGTAGTTGGCCACCAGGTTTGCATACATCTCAGGAGGGATTTTGTCCAACTCCTCTTTGCAGATGTTCTCCAAGTCATTAAGGTTTCGAGGCTGACGTTTGGCAACTCGAACCTTCAGCTCCCTCCACAGATTTTCTATGGGATTAAGGTCTGGAGACTGGCTAGGCCACTCCAGAACCTTAATGTGCTTCTTCTTGAGCCACTCCTTTGTTGCCTTGGCCGTGTGTTTTGGGTCATTGGCATGCTGGAATACCCATCCATGACCCATTTTCAATGCCCTGGCTGAGGGAAGGAGGTTCTCACCCAAGATTTGACGGTACATGGCCCCGTCCATCGTCCCTTTGATGCGGTGAAGTTGTCCTGTCCCCTTAGCAGAAAAACACTCCCAAAGCATAATGTTTCCACCTCCATGTTTGCTGGTGGGGATGGTGTTCTTGGGGTCATAGGCAGCATTCCTCCTCCTCCAAACATGGCGAGTTGAGTTGATGCCAAAGAGCTCCATTTTGGTCTCATCTGACCACAACACTTTCACCCAGTTCTCCTCTGAATCATTCAGATGTTCATTGGCAAACTTCAGACGGGCATGTATATGTGCTTTCTTGAGCAGGGGGACCTTGCGGGCGCTGCAGGATTTCAGTCCTTCACGGCGTAGTGTGATACCAATTGTTTTCTTGGTGACTATGGTCCCAGCTGCCTTGAGATCATTGACAAGATCCTCCCGTGTAGTTCTGGGCTAATTCCTCACCGTTCTCATAATCATTGCAACTCCACGAGGTGAGATCTTGCATGGAGCCCCAGGCCGAGGGAGATTGACAGTTATTTTGTGTTTCTTCCATTTGCGAATAATCGCACCAACTGTTGTCACCTTCTCACCAAGCTGCTTGGCGATGGTCTTGTAGCCCATTCCAGCCTTGTGTAGGTCTACAATCTTGTCCCTGACATCCTTGGAGAGCTCTTTGGTCTTGGCCATGGTGGAGAATTTTTGACATGCGTTTTTCTGGAATTTTTTGTTGTTATTCTGTCTCTCACTGTTCAAATAAACCTACCATTAAAATTATAGACTGATCATGTCTTTGTTAGTGGGCAAACGTACAAAATCAGCAGGGGATCAAATACTTTTTTCCCTCACTGTAAGTTTGGTGAATGGAACTACAAATAAGTTGATGCCATCACAAAAACACCTCTAAATTCTTACCTCTAAATCAGATTTCTGTCAATAGAATCTGCAGAGTTTATCACGTGATGGTTCAGGACTAAACTGAGCATGTGCACAGTGAATCGCATGATTCTACCTCGCTCCTGATTGGAGTAATTGCAAGTGTTACAACCATCCCCAGTCTCCCCTACACAGGGGGGCAGCAAAGTAGCCTATTTGTGGTTAATTGCCATCACCCACTAATTAACTAATTTTTGCAGATTAAGTGTTTGAGCTAGTAATGTATCAATATTAATAATTTACAAATGAGCTATGACATAGCCAATGAATATATAGCACAACTTTGGATTTAACCCCCATCTGAAAATGGTTTTGACCGTTTAGGAATTTTTTAGTGATCTTCTTTCTCCTCCGCTTTGGCCATGCAGTGTGCCTCGCAAAAGTTATTCCTCGTTATGAAATTATCAACTTTACCCTATATATCTAAAAATTACCATATACAAATCAAATTCAATTTGTCACATGCGCCGAATACAACAGGTGTAGACTTTACCGTGAAATGCTTACTTACAAACCCTTTCCCAACAATGCAGAGTTAAAAAGTAAGAAAAATTAGCAAAAAAGGAAGCAGTAATACAATAAAATAACAGTAACGAGACTATATACAAGGAGTACCGGTACCGAGTCAATGTGCAGTGGTACGAGGTAATATATACATGTAGGTAGGGATAAAAGTGACTAGGCAATCAGGATAGATAAACAGAGTTGAGTAGCAGCAGCGTATGTGAAAGTGGGTGTATGTGTGGTGTCAATGTGCATGTCTGTGTGTGTGTGTGTGTGTGTGTGTGTGTGTGTGTGACCGTATGTAGTATGTGTGTTGGAGTGTCTGTGTAGTGTGTGTGGGTAGAGTCCAGTGAGTGTGCATAGAGCCGGTGCAAGAGAGTCAGTGCAAATAAAAGGGGGTCAATGCAAATAGTCATTGTAGCCAAAACGTTGGTGCCGTTTAAGATGAGGGAGGATGATAACATTTTTTTATGAGCATGGCCTTATTGCTATTACAGCATATTGGATGACTGTCATTCATATTCCATTCACCCAGCTCAATGTAACATTGATAGGTTTATGCCACTACATGATACTAAAATGTTCCCTGTACCCATCATGAGGTTTCTACAACCTAGCCTATGAATGAAAGTTTACAACGTAGGTGCACAGGTCGAGAGAATTTTGAGTAATCAAGGTGACAGTGACACATTTTAATACCGCCTTGCACACTCTTGCCTGCATCTAGCTGATCTAGTGTGTAATCATTAGTCCAACAGTTGCAAATGAGAGTTTCTATTGGACAAAGGTATGTTTATCCCCGTTTCATCCAGTTTGCTTCCGTTTAAGAAACTATTTTCAACAATCGGCGTAATAAATACACCACGGATCACACGCAAACACAGTTCACTTTCATAGCAGCCACATAAAAACAGCATGATCACTTTGCTCGTTGTGTATATATAATTTGTTCTCTCAACGATCTATGCGCTCTCCTCCTCTCAGCTTTTCCCTTCACTTGTGGACCAGGCGAAAAAATCTTTCCAAGCCAAACCTTCATATCATGACCGCTAACCACTACACACAGCCTACATCATTGTCACGTCATAGTCAACATAGCTACTAGAACTACCGCCTTAGTAAACCCGCTACAATCATGCAGTACAGTGTACAGTCAGAGAGCAGTTTAGCAGTTACACCGGCGGGCCCCGGTGGCAATAAATGAATAAAACCAAAAGCTTACCTTGACTTGGACGAGTTCCAGTGTTGGATAGCCTTAGCCAGCTAGCTAACATACTGTAGCATCCCTCTCTGTTTGAGCCGGGTGTTTGAGTAGGCTAAACTATAGTAGCTTGCTGCATTCACTAGCTAAGTGAAAGTTACAACCAAATATAGCTATCTCACCACATTGTATGGACTGCATTGCTAGCTAGCTATAGCTTATGCTTTCAGTACTAGATTCATTCTCTGATCCTTTGATTGGGTGGACAACATGTCAGTTCATGCTGCAAGAGTTCTGATAGGACGTCCTCAGGAAGTTGTCATAGTTACAGTGTAAGTCTATGGAAGGGGGTGAGAGCCATGAGCCTCCTAGGTTTTGTATCGAAGTCAATGTACCCAGAGGAGGACCGAAGGTAGCTGTCCTCCGGCTACACCATGGTGATACCCTTCCCTAGGCTACTGTAGACCTTCCTTGTGTTTTAATCAATTGTTTGGTGACGTGAATATATTTAGTATAACTTTTTAAATGTTTCACTATTTTATGAATATCACTGAGGAGGATGGTCCTCCCCTTCCTCCTCTGAGGAGCCTCCACTGGTATCCATTTGATTAACTGTTCAGCAGTCTTATGGCTTGGGGGTAGAATCTGTTTAGGAGCCTTTTGGTCCCAGACTTGGTGCACTGATTGTTTAAAGCAAAACTACCAAAACTATTGCTGATGGTGAACCTGAACAATCAAAATAAAATCTATTGTAAGCCCGTTGAGCAGGTAGGCTATAGCCAGATGAGTTGTGTCTCCAGTAGCTTACTTTTATAAAATGTTTAACAGCTCATAGATAACATGAACTTAGCAAATTACATAGGTTGTTACTGAACTAATAAAGTCTAATATCTCGTATCCCATTTTAGCATTTAAATGCTGAAGGTGCAGCACAGATGTGCAAGATCAGGAACAGGCTGCCTACCTTGCATTGGTCAGCGCCAAGGGGCCAGGGTTCCGGTCTAGAAGCACGGTTTCTACTGCTCCTACAGTTTTGCTTCGGTACTACAGTTTAACTGACCCCCGGCCCAGAAATACAATTTCCATAGACAGCCACATAGAGAAGTCAGATTTGAAAATTCCTAATAACCTTTGTGCACAAAACATCCATTGAGTTAATCAAATAATTGTCACTAAGGCCGTTCTTTTTTTAAATCACTCACAGCCGAAGATATTAACATTTTATATTCATCCAATGTCTGCCATGTTTTTGGATGACGTAGTCGCTGCTCCCTGTGCCCACTGAGTACTAGTGCGCATGCGATGTTGGTCCCTATAAACTGGATGCAACACGGTATGCCAGGGGTGTAAACTCATTTTGCCCAAGGGGCCGCATTCGGTCTTCAACGAGGTCCGGAGGGCCGCAATGAAAATGTCTTATATTTCCTTGCTGTCAAAATTTGCAAAAAATTGTCCTCCATCCATCGAATTTTCGATGCTCCCTGA